GTGTCTATATATATATATATATATTTTTGCATGTGTCTATATATATATATATATATATTAATAAAGATCAGATGTCTCTTTACAAGAGAAAAAAAGTGAGAGACTAAACTAGAATTTTGTTGTAGAAAAAATAATTTATTCTATGAAAAAGATAAAATATAATCATTTCCCCATTTATTAGATTTTACAAATTTATATGTTTTGGTAATAGAAAAATTGAAATATAAATATGTCTATTATAGCAAAAAATGATCTTACCAACGACATAAAAACATTTCAAAAATTTCACCCATATAACAATTCTTAACAAAATAAAATCTCTTCAGTTTTAAAACGTTTTAAAATACAAAAATAATACAACGTTCAAGGTTATTGTGTTCCAACATTTCTAAATCATCGACGTCAATAAAATTGTGCTTTATAATTGGAACACCGACGTCAAAAAATAATAGTAGTTGGAACACAATAACCTTGAACGTTGTTTTCATTTCATACAATATATATATACATATATGAGTTTCCCAAAAAAAATATGTATATGTTTTTACATTTTTGGTAGTATTGTCAGAGAATATTGTGCCAAGAAGGTTTGATACCATACACAATTTACAGGCGAACTGATGAATGACACGGAGGGGTTTTGGATTACGACTTGACTCGGGCTAAGAAGCAAGCCCAACGTAATTTGAACAGCTACCCTCGTTTCCTCGTTGGTTCACGTGGGCGCATTTTATAGTTTTACCATCACTTTTGATGTTTATTTTAATATGTTTTTGGAATTTGATTTGGTCTATCTAACGCGAAAATTATAAACATATACATATAAAAACATGTATAACTTTATTTGAAAATAATTTAGTTAGTGTTTGATCATATTTACAATCTTTTCTATGTCACCAAACCATGTATATACAATAACCTAAACCGTCATCTTTCTTACATGAATTAAAACTAAAAATATATTAACAGAAATTTAAACTCTTGATATAATATGTTGGATTCATATCTAACTCAACTTTGTTTTCGATTCCATTTACTTTTTTTTTTTGCTTCTAGTAATACTTTTTTCTTTGACATCTGTGATATTGATTTTTACTTTTGAGAAAAATTATAAATGCTAACAGTCTATAATTTATTATAATATTGGATACATCATCGTAAAATATATATTTCTACTATAAATAATGATAAATTATTTGTAATGATCGAGATATTGATAAAGAACTTCAACATAACGTCCGATGTAATTTTTGTGAATAGTTTTATGAATTTCTCTGTAATACACGATCACAACTAAGAGTTCTCCCTTTCGATAAGATTTACGTCTTATAGTATGCAAGAATAATACATTTTTATTTTTCAAAAAAAGAATAATACATTTTTGGAAATCTAATACTATAATGTAAAAGTTTTAGACCACTAAGCCTAGGGCTGGACAAAAAATCTTAACCCGAAAAACCAAACCAAATCCAATCTAAAAAAAATAGTTGAATTCAAACTAAAATTGGTTAAATCGCCTAACGGATTCAAAATTTTGATATCTATAAAATTAAAACCGAATTCGATCCGAACTGAAATACTTCGGGTATCCGAATAGATATGAAGCAGATTTATATAATTAAATTTATCATTTATTTTTAGATGTAATATCGAAAAAGTATCAAAAATAGATAAGTTATTTTGAGGTTGTCCAAATATATTTGAAAATATATAAAAATAGTCAAAAGTAAATATTTAAAGTATAAAAAATATTCAAAACATCGTCAATACTTAAAAAAACCTATTGATTATCTATCTAATTATTCAAGTTAAACCAAATTTTATGTTAAGTTAAAATATTTTGGCATACTTTACTCCAAATTTATATGTTATATATCATTTTTATTTTTAAATATTTGAAATTTAAAGTTTATATGAATTTTAAAAATAATTTAAACATGTTATCTGAACCTGAACCAAACCTGTAAAGATCTGAACCGAAACCCAACCGAAATTTATAGATATCCAAATAAGACTGTAATAACTAATCCCGAAAACTTTGAAATCCGAATCGATTTGAACCGATCCCAAATTGATACCCGAACACTGACCTCTAACTAAGCCTTAGGGTTTTCATTGCCTAGGATTAGTAGACCGGAAGAATAATAATGGCAGATTATAGACCGTGGAACTGCGAATCTTATCTATTGCTCTTTGGTCCACTTTTAAGGTTGCGGTTGGTTCTTTGATAAGTTGGATTATTCTAATCTTAGTCATGTTTACAATTAAAACACTGTTAACAGAAAGCTAAAAGGGTAATATAAAAAATATAAATTAAAGAATCATTATGATATCAACACCCGTGGGTTTTTTACCTCAGTGCCTCATCATTAAATCCCTAATTTACGTTAACATATCAAATCAAAAATCTGCTAAAGAATATTATCTAATGATAATCAAATCAAACATCAGATTTAAGCAGGTCAAACACTTAATAAAACCGATTATTATACCATAACATTGCATCGAAGTCACTGTTTTCTTTTTATATGTTAAGATTTTATTGTTTCATACTTAAAAGTTAGTGTATCCCAAAACCTAGTCCTACTCACTACGATACTTCTTAAACAGTGAGCGTTTCATAATATTTCATTCAAGATATAAGTTTGACTTTTTGAGCTTAAGGTTTCGTTTAGATCTTTATTTTTCACTTAGATCAGTTCAACACTTTGAAGTGAATTTGAGGATAAGGATTTAAATAAGTAAAAAATATACATATATTTCGCAAATGTGTTGCCTTTGATCATATTTTGCTTTAAGTTTGTGTTTTCTTCAAGCGTTTGTTCAACTTATTATAGTTTAGAAATCTCAAAAATTCAATCATGAATAAGAATAACACTCTTATCAGAGCCGGCCCTTGGGCCAAGCAAAAGAAGCTACTGCTTCCGGCCGCATTATTCTAAATATAAGTTCGGCCACAAAATCACAATATTGTCCTTTGGCCTAGTGGTAACATCTGAAATAATACAATCTCTCTTGGTCCAACCTGAGTTCGAATCTTAAAGGAAGGCCTATTTTTTTAAACTTGCTTCTGGTCTGAGATACCCTAGGACCGGCACTGACTCTTATTAATCTCTTGAGAAAATCATTCAAAACTCAAGAACTCAACTCACAAATTCTCTTAAGGAAAACTCACTCAAAAACCTTAAGCTCCCACACAATCACAAAGACTCATCTCTCATCTCATAAGTCATGCAACCCCATTGCATCTCCTTATATATGAATCAAATTTCCTAAACTCATTAGGTAAAACATATCAGTAACTTTTCCTAAACTCATTAGGACATCTTAAGTACGTATCCTTTCCTAAACTCATTAGGATAGCTTGTAGCCAAAGGTAACTTCAAGCTTAAGCCAACATTCTCCCCCATAAGCTTGAACTCATCTTCACACACTTCATTTACTCCAATCAGTCGCCTCATCTCCCACGTCAGTTTCCCGATTGTTTTCATCACGATATCGCTTATTTGTTCACTCCCAGATGTATGCTTATATAACTCTTGAAGCCATATAGCTTGTTTCATAGATTCAGTCTCTGCCATGTCTTCAGCTTCACATGACGGAGACACAACAGTCTCTTGTTTGCTTGAACTCCACGTTATTGATCTTTCATTATCAAATATATATATATATATATATATATATATATATATATATATATATATATCTTGCCACACTCTTGCCATCATCCGAGTCCATTCTATGACCTCTGCCAATATCCCCAACAATTGGTATCTCAGTAGTTGCATGTATCTTCACTTCAGTTCTACAAAAAATTTCGGATCTCTGCATATCTCGTCTTATTATCCTCACACAACAAGATAGCTCCGGTCTGGTCTTACAACAGCCGACATTCCTCATGTATCTTGCAGCATCACTGTCTCTTTCAACTTTAGACTTTGATAGTTTCAGCGCGTATTCCATCGGTGTATGTATTGTACTATAATTCTCCATTCCATTTTCTTCCAGAGTACTCATGTCAAAACTCACTACCATCTCCCATTTAAAAACTTCAGTGGAGATATCATCGACTTTAACTTTCAGATTCTCTAACCTCTTAAGTTCCACTTGGACATGTTCTTTCTTTGCTAATTTGAGAGACTGTATATGCTCCTCTTCAATTTCTTCTCTTGTTCAGAAAACTTCTCTCTCTCCCTTGAAGAATTTGCAATTTCTTCTTGTTTGTGTTTAATACAATACCCCAGCTCTCTTTTCTGCATCTCAATGTCTAACAAGAGGTTAACTCGTTCTTTATGTATCTTGCTACGCCACTTTGAATGTTCCTCCACCATTTGATTCAAGGGTTCTTCATTTTCTTGGTTATCACGCTCTCGTGAGATACATTGAGAAAACCTCCCAAGTAACGTACTCTGTTTTTTTCTCATAACTTTTCTTTTCTTTTTACTACTGTGTTCCCTCTCAACTTGAAATTTAGTTTTCTCCATCGATAATCTATCTGATTCAGCCATCCGTTTAAGCTGTTGACCCCTCAAATTATCTAAGTATAACTTTCTAAGTTGATCCTTCTCATTGTCCAGTAGAATTGTCTTATGATTGATATCTTCCTTTGTAGCACTAAAGTGCTTCTCTTTCTCGTGAGTAGTAATGTTGAGCACCGTGACTCTGACCTGAATTGGAAGACCTTTCTCAAGATATAGAAGACAGAATTGGCATTTGTTCTTCAACTTGGAGTAAGCCTGACATATATCTGGTTTCTTGTATCTCTCACTCTGGCCAGGTTGCCACCTAAACATCGTGAAAAACTGTGTACGTGCCTTATACTATTTCTTATAATCTGCTAGTACCATTTCCAAGCAAGGATCTTCACAAAGGCTGGATTGACAGAGGATTGGAAACTTAGATCGTTCACATATATTACCTTTATGATCTCTTAATATCATTTTATTCTCTTCCTCCCCTGCCTCCTCTTTATGGTTAGAAGACATCTCTGTTATGTCCTTTTATTTCTTTTCCAGTGCTCTTAGTTGAAATTCTAAGTCATGTGCAAAGTTCTTAGTCTCAATGACTCTGAGCTTTTCTCTCTCACTGTCTACTTTAGTTCGAGCATTTCTCAAGATATACATCCATGAAAACACACTTATCTTCCGTCCCTCGATTTCCTCTAATTGTTTTTCTAATAATAGTATCTTGGTTCTCATCTGCTCTCTTGAAGGTAACAATGTTTCCCATGAAGAAACGGTCAGAAGCTTCTTCACTCTCCTGAAGTCTGCTATTTTCTCCATAAATTCAGTTTCAGCTCCCAGCTGTTCTGCTCTTGCATGCATTGCTGAAGTATGTTTTATAAATCCCTCGTGTTGGAGTTTAATGGAACGTGCTAAAGCCTTCCTGTTGGTCAAAATATTCTTCGGCCTCAACATTGGTGAACGCTTATACTCTTTTCCTCTATAAACAAATCTGGCATATCCTGCAGAGACCTTGTCTATAGAGACCAAGATACCGCCACTCTCGGATTCAAGTGATAATGCCACATTCTTCAAACCCTCCAAGTTTTTAGCCTTCACGAACGTTTTGACCAACTCTCTGTATTTCCAGTGCAAGTGCATGTTCTCAACCGTGCCATTAAACACTCCTTGCCTACCTATAAGTAAAAAAACTTTCATATTTGATCCACGCTTGCGAAATATAAACCTCTCTTCACCAGTTATGCTTTCTAAGTCTGCTCTCTGCTCTGCTGGCTGTAGACACTCTTCTACCTTAGCTAAATCACGTTCAGCTTTCAATAGCTTTCTCTCAGCAAAAACAAATTTCTTTTCCAGTTTCCTAACAAGATTCTTATGCCTCAGTTTCTTAACCTCGTGTTTCACTTCTTTTGCGTGACCATCGTTAAGATTTATTCCCCAGTTACTTGGGACAATCAGGGCCGATAATCCTTCTCTTAAACATGCCTCTTCTTCGTTGTCTTGTAAGCTCCTTACAAATTTCTCTTGTTCCACCAATGCCTCAGCTACTTCTCGTGAAAAATAGTTGCTTCCTCGGTATAAAACCAAGCCGGCTTTGTTCCTAGAGAGCAGTATCCCTCCTGTCAGTTTCTTGAAGTCTAGCCATTCGCTCACTGGTGGTTAGTACACTGCATTTAATCGCAATCTTTGCAAGCATACTCTTTTTCCTCCTAGGTTTGTGTGATGTATTTCCCACATCAGAACCAACACGCCTTCTCTTTACCTGAGCTCTCTTAGAACCGTCATCATCGCTGTTGACGAGTGCATGCTCATGACTTCGATTAACTCTGGAGCTTTCAGTGTTTACTATCTCATCACCACTATATACTTTCTTCTTCTTCTCTCTTAGAACCGTCATCATCGTTGTTGACGAGTGCATGCTCATGACTTCGATTAACTCTGGAGCTTTCAGTGTTTACTATCTCATCACCACTATATACTTTCTTCTAACTCTGGAGCTTTCAGTGTTTACTATCTCATCACCACTATATACTTTCTCCTCCTCCTCCTCCTCCTCCTCCTCCTTTATAATTTGCTGTGACGTTTTGCTCATGTCCAATTTCAGGGTTTGAGCAAAAGATAGAGATCCAGTATTTAACATGTTGCTCTGATACCAAATATAGTTTAGAAATCTTAACTTAAATACATTCGCCGCCATAACCTTTATAATTTGCCCTGACGTTTGCTCATGTCCAATTTTAGGGTTTGAGCAAAAGAAACTTATTAGAGATCCAGTATTTAACCTGTTGCTCTGATACCAAATATAGTTTAGAAATCTCAAGAATTCAATCATGAATAAGAATAACTCTCTTATTAATTTCTTGAGAAAATCACTCAAAACTCAAGAACTCAACTCACAAATTCTCTTAAGGAAAACTCACTCAAAAACCTTAAGCTCTCACACAATCACAAAGACTCATCTCTCATCTCATAAGTTATGCAACCCCATTGCATCTCCTTATATATGAATCAAATTTCCTAAACTCATTAGGTAAAACATATAAGTAACTTTTCCAAAACTCATTAGGACATCTTAAGTATCTTTTCCTAAACTTATTAGAATAGCTTGTAGCCAAAGGTAACTTCAAGCTTAAGCCAACTCTTATGTTTAGATTGTACTATGGGCTCTCTTTGTCCGACAAAAACAGAGTTTGTCCTAATTATTCAGTCAAACCTTAACTTATAAGTTTGGGCTTTTGGTATTCTATTTGAACTTATTATTACTATTAGATCTTAATGGACCTTAACTCATGGTCACCGGTGAATCTGAGTGCACCTGCATCAACTCCATATGTTCATCACACTCGAGCTACATTTGGCCACAAATCAAGGAGCAACCATGTGGTAATCGTTTGAGATAACGTTGAGATTCACAATCGCTGGTGTTTACTACCAACTCAGAGGCAAATCGAGCAGAAAGGACTCTCTCCATAAAGACATACCTGAAGAGCTTTTTTTTACTTCCTTGGGCTTAACCAAGTTAAGTTTCGAGACTGGGTTCTAAAATGGATTCACCATCAAGGTAACACACCTATCAAAATAAGCTATTAAGATCAAACAAACAAGACAAGTTAAGTACCAAGTATACAAGTACTTGGATACTTCCACCGAAATCAAATCAGTAGGACTAGGCTTGGTTCAAAAGCAACTGACTCGACTGAAATATATTACCACTATAGAAAATTACCATCTGAAAGCATATATATTAGTATCTAATTTAATGATAAGAAATACTAATCGATAAAAACAAAATTATATATTATCATTATAGATACATTTATCTTAATAAATATTTCGTATTTGATATAAAATATATAATCACATTTTTTTTGAAAATGAAAACTTACACATAAGCAAGAGAAGCATATAATATTTCTCATTATTGACAATTGTCTGAACTTCTTTAAAGTTCTGCATGAATGGATATATAATGTCAGGAGTAACCCCCCCCCCCCCAGCTGAATATAAACTCCTATCACCGCCAACCATCATTACACTTCTAAGAAACTCTATAGAACACATACAACATACCAAAAAATATATAACATATATATATAAATTCACTGGATTTAGAAAGTATTGGGTTGTTTAGCTTGAGAAATCATCTGGACAACTTCTCTCATGGTCGGTCTCTCAACACTATGTTCTTGAACACATAGCATTGCCACAAAGAACAGTTCCATGGCTTCTCCTAATGGCACATTGCTCAATCTTTTGTCAATGATCTTCACCACACCTTGTCTGTTACAATTTGTCTGAATTTTTGACCATTGCACAATGTCTATCCCTTCTTCTCCAAATTTATCTACGGGTTTTCGACCCGATATTAGCTCCAATAGTACTACTCCGAAGCTGTACACATCACTCTTCTCATCTATTCTCAATGTATATGCGTATTCTGCATGATTAAAATCAAGTAAAATAGTTTTTAGTTCGACCATCTAACACGAGTTTTAGGTAGGAATGAGCAATTGAATTGAACCGGTTTAACTAAACCCAACCCTGACAAACACTGAAGATTGGTCAAATTATCTCGAAATCATAAGTATTAAGCTGAAAAGGACCTAAAAATAGATAAGAATAAAAACTTACATGTAGTTTCACATTTTAATTGATGATATTAAGCGTATTTTGGTTCTAGTTCGGTTTCTATCTATCCATAATAAATTCTAAATAGACCAAAACAACAAAGAAACCGGTCAGTAACCTAAATGCATCCCCGGCCCTAATTTTGACTGTACGTGTTATGCAAGAAACACGTATTGGGAATGGGTCATGTACCTGGAGCGATGTAGCCGTACGAGCCTGCGACCGATGACATACACTCTGAAGCTCCATTGTCTTGCATCATAAACCTAGCCAGCCCAAAATCAGCGACATGAGCTTCAAAATCAGGACCTAACAAGATGTTGTTTGATTTCACATCACGGTGAATTATAAGCGGCGAGCAATCATGGTGAAGATAACACAATCCTTTAGCCGCTTCCAACGCTATTTGCAACCGCGTCTCCCATTTCAAAAACACTCCAGCTTTCCCATGCAAGACTTCTCCGAGACTACCATTAGGCATATACTCGTAAACAAGGAGGTTCACGTCTTTGTTTGAGCAGAAAGCAAGCAATCTCACTATGTTCCTGTGTCTGATTCTGCCTAATGTCTGAATCTCTGCGGATAAACCGTTGTCGTGAGATGATGTTTTACTTATGGATAAGAGCTTCTTGACCGCAACTTCTTCTCCGTTTGGCATTAAGCCTTTGTAGACAATCCCTGCACCGCCTTTACCGATTACATTGTTCTCTTTAACGCATTCCACAACGTGCTCGCTTCTGAAACCTAGCTGTTGAAACCCTATGAGCTTCCATAGATTCGAGTTGCTCCTTCTCATTCTCCAATTCTTGACCACAGCTAAAACGATGAACATCAAGAAGAACCCTAGTAGACCTAACCCTAATAACAGCTTGAATTTCGCAGAGATTTCTCCATGGGAATTTGCATTTTTCTGGTTGGGAAGTTGAGATTGAGATTGGTTTTGAGAACCGTTGCAAGGGTTGGAAGAGTATCCGCACAGAAAAGGGTTTCCGAGGAATGACGTGTTGTTGAAGTAAAAGAATTGCCCTGAAGTTGGTATTGAACCTGAGAAGTTGTTGTGTGAGAAATCTGCTGATGTTAAGCTCTTCAAGTATCCGAGTTCGACAGGGATGCTCTGGTTCAACGAGTTCCAAGAAACATTCAGATAGTTTAGCATCCTAACCTGTGAGATCTGAACCGGAATCTGACCTGAGATCTTGTTATGACTCAAATCCAAGTAGGTCAATGACTGACAATCACCAAACTCTGAAGGTAACTTGCCAGAGAAGTTATTTCTGCTCATGTCAATCTTGAGAAGACTCTTCAAGCTTCCTATTTCACCAGGGATTGGTCCCGTGAACCGGTTCGAGCCAAGAAGAAGAATCTGAAGGCTTCTGAGGTTCCTGATTGAACTAGGGATCGGTCCGGTTAACCGGTTGTTTGACAGATTGATCTGAGTGAGGCTAGATAACCTTGCATTCCCGGTCTCTTCTTCTGGTATTTCTCCGGTCAAGAAGTTGTTTTGAAGCTCAAGAAGCGATACATTTGGAAGATAGATCAAACCCTTTGGTAATTTACCTGTCAAAAAGTTCTGACCTAGACGGAATCTCCAAAGCGGCTCGCATTGGCCAAGATCTTCAGGGAGAGGACCGAACAAGAAGTTGTTGAAGAGAATGAGAATCTTTAGGTTTCTTCCGAAACAGAGTGATTCAGGGATCGAACCTGTCAGCTTGTTAGTAGACAAATCTATCTCAACCAACCTCCCATTTGTGCCAAGATTCTCAGGAATCTTTCCAGTGAAGTTATTGTGCCAAAGCTTGAGAACTTCAAGATCAGGAAGCTGAGATACAAACTCAGGAATCTCGCCGTGTAATTTGTTGAAGAAGAGGTTAAACAACTGAAGCTTTTGAAGTCCAGATAGCTCCAGAGGAATCTCTCCTTCAAGAAAGTTGTTGGAGAGATCTAATGTCTTGAGGCTTGTCATGTTCCCTAACTCCCTAGGAACAGAACCTGTAAGTGCATTGGTTTGAAGATACAGAATCTCCAAGTTCTTGAGATTCCCTAACTCTGAAGGAATTGATCCTTTCAAGCTGCAATTAGCTAAATCCAAGTGAACAAGATTGCTCAATCTCCCCAAATCCGCTGGTATCCCGCCGTGGAAGTCGTTGTAGTAGCCTAAGTATAGTTTCTGAAGAGTTGTGATGTTCCCTAACTCGTTAGGGATTCTCCCACTTAGGTCATTTCCGTATAAAGATAGTAACGTGAGACGCAAGAAACCTCCGTAGCGTCTAGGGATCTCACCGGTAAAGTAGTTTCCTCCGAGGTCTAAGTAATCGAGTTGAGTGAGTTTGGTTAGAGACAGAGGAAGTAATCCGTTGAAGTTGTTGTCGTAAGCGTCGAGCGTCGTGAGCTGAGTCAATCGACTGAACTCAAGTGGCGCAAGCTCTCCTTCAAAGGCGTTGTTTGAGATGTTTAAGTACTCTAGACTCGTCAGCTTGAGGATCTCTGGCGAGAGTGTGCCGGAGATGTTGAGATTAGAGATGTCGAGACGAGTAATGGACTGGTTCAAGGTGTCACAAGAGACGCCAGTCCAAGAACAGAGAGAGTTGAAATTTGGAATGTTCCAAGAATCAAGAGAAGGATCATAGGAATCAAAGCTTTGTTTTAGTGAGACAAGGACTTTGGCTTGTCTTATTAGTGAGAGATTAAGAGATGAACTCAAAGAAGAACAGAGGAGAGTAGAGACTGAAGACAAGATTAGGAAGAAAGTGAATATCTTGTCTGCCATTGTAACATTAGAAAGAAAAAAAGAATTCTCCGACACGAATCTGAACTTCAGAGAAGTGAAAGAGAAGAAGGGTCTTCGAAGAAGTTGCAAAACCCTAGAAGGAGATCATCATCATTAGACATCATCATGCTTTCACTGTTTTTTAAATGATTTGGGGCTCACGATGTTCTGGAGTTGCTACTTGGAGTGAGTGGCTTAATAAGTGGAGAGGATCATCATCATTTCAAGCCTTCAGTTTTTTTTTTTGGAAATACGAAATTGTAAAATATTATAATAAATAAAAAGTGAAGAAAAGTTTGATCTATACAATGCATTCTTCTTCTAATCTTCTTTAGGATTTGAGCTTTAGATTTTTTTTTAAACGAGTCTTTAGCTTTTGAAAAAAGTAAAAGCAATATCTTCTTTCACAAAAGATGAGACACACATCATCGCTTTTCCTTTAATGGAGAAAAATATAAATTTAAAGATCAGTGTCTCTGGCCTTCTTTTTACCTTCTCTTTATCTTTTGATTTGATTTTTTTTTTCGATTATTTGAATTATATTTCATATTTATAAGTCATAGTCACATATACAGTCCACTGGGTTTTAACAAACCAAATTTTTAAGAATTTGATTAGATGATATCATGAATTTTTGAGTTTAGGAAACCAAAAGTTGCCGTTCAGAAAAAAAGGAAACCAAAAGTTAAAGCAAAATTTGATGGCATCCAACACTAATTTTATACAAGTCCTAAATCATATATTAACCAAAATTTAATGGAATTTATTTTAAATTTTATTGATTACGTGATTATATTACTGTCCAATAAAGGTGAGAATTATCATGTTTAATCAATCAGAAATAATCATCTATGTGTTATTACTAAAAAGGAACATTGAAAGGGCATTATAAAAAACTTAAAAATGGTAACATAGAATAAAAAAGAACACACTATATCACAAGTTGATAGTATCAAGTTTTATTTTCAATTAGGCTTCGAATGTTTGCAAACTGCACCGTACCATATATAATATAATAAAAATCTATACATATATTTATGTATCTACATTTTTTTGTTAGACCGCATTGCAATTGTTTCTTATGTTGTCATTCAGACCTTTAGATTCAAGATGTCTTATCATTTTGGTCGAATGCATGGATCAATTATAAACCATATAATTACCCTATATCATGAAATAAACATCGTACCTTTATGTCATTCTAATGTTTAATTTCCATTAACTAAAGATCAAAATCTAATCCGTCAGGTACGATGTTAATTACCCTATATGTCTTTGTCACCACTAAACCAGTACAAACCAAAGTAACTAGAATCTTTGGTAACTGTGCTACTCTTTTTTGTTGTTTTAGAAGAAATTAATTACTTCTCTATCAAGATTCTGTCTCGGTACCCAATGTTTCAACAGCTAAAACTCCTTGAAATTTTCACAGCACGAACCTGCAAAAAGATACTCATGCCAATCGGCAATTATTATCAAATTATTTCGTGAACTGCCAATTCCGATTATTTTCTCCCTTTTCTATAATTGTATTTCTTTTTTTCTTTGAAAGAGACGCATCAGATTTATAAGATAAACAATAGCTGCAACTTGATATGGTATATGATCTAAAGAGAAACAATTAAAATGAAAGTAAAACATAGACTAACTCAGAGCTAGTTGTACAATATGCCAATTCATTTTGTGGCTAAAAGATCATATTCAAACACATTCACTATACTACTATAGGTTTAAATCATAGTTGATAACTGCAGATTAGTTAATCAGTAAAGATACCAGTTTTGTCATACGGTTTATGAATTAGTTAACTAGAAAAAAATTATGTTGTTCTAATAAAAGAACATCTCATATGAGAAAAAAAGAAGAGAATATCTCCAATGGGTAATACCTATAACCAATTAAGATGGTGAAAGTTATTGGTTGGTTTCACTTCCCTGTATAATATAATTTGGAAGAAATGTTAGTTATTCACACATGCATATCTCATCCAACTATTTTGTTCAGCTCATTATGACCTATATTTTTACTCCAATACGAGCTAGAATATTTTTTTCTTTGAATGAAAGTATTTTTTTTGTTAGAGAATGAAAGTATATTAAGTGATGCTCTTTAAATCTACAAAATAAGTTGAAGGGACTCCACATAAAAATTTTCACCGTGAAACGTTGCAATAAGGATTTTATACTTCGAAAATACTTGGCGTGGAAAGTGTGATAAAGAATACCTTATAGTCACTTGTTTTTTTTTTTTTTTTTGATCAAATAGTCACTTGTTTTTTTTAAAAATTCGGTCACTTGTTTATTAGTAAAAATCTAAACCAAATCTATCCATCTTTTATTATTTCATGGGCTCTTTTAATTTTATTCGATTCTTTTTTCGGTTTTAGATTATTGAGATGCCTAAAGTTTGAGAAGAACAAAGAGGAGGCCCTCCCCATCAACTTTGCTAGCCTAAAGTAAAAAGAAAAGCCGAAGACAGCTGATTATTCATTTTGGAGCGTGCTACTTTCTTTTTATCTAAACGTCTCAATCTTTTACTTTTAATTGTTGTCAAGCATATGAAAACTTTCATAACCAAATTTAAGAAAAAAACACATTAGCATAGTTAGTTCAACTAAATCATGAACATTTCAATCTTTTACTTTATAATGTTCTTCAAGCATATGAACATTTTCAGAATGAGATTTAATAAAGAAACAACTTACTAGTTAGTTCAACTAAGAGACAATTAATCTTTTTTTTTTTTCGGAGCAACAACAATTAATCTTTCTTCATCTGGTTTTCAGTATGAATATACAATCCTAAACACACGTTTCTGTTTACTGTTACTGAGAACTATAAATGTTGTCACGGACTACGCTAATCCAAAGCTGGCATTATTGGTTTTAGACTACGTATGAGCATTTTTTTGTAGGCCTAGGTCCGGCTTACTCCTTTTGACCATGCAAGTTACTGCATTGCGAAAAATCACCTAACATATATTATAATTGTGACGGATTTGACTGGTCCAAAGATGATTTTATATGAATCAGAACTAACCATTAATCGATGGATATTTACGCTTACCATAACATCATTGATGGAAAACGCATGCACAACCACCGATGAAGAGCCCGAATCCATCATTCTATTTATGTGTTCTCAGGTGGATATGAAATTTGACGTTGGAAGAACCAATGTTTCCACAAAAGAAATTAAAGAAGTTCATGTACATCTTTCTAGGGACTAGGGTACCATCTAAATCTACATATTTTGTTGCGCATGTAATTTAGAAAAACGAGAGTTAGTGGCTTCTTTTCTCTTTTCAAATTACAAAACTTTTTTGGTAAGTGACCATGGTTCGACTTTATTTTAATTGCAAAAACTTTCTCAGTAAATGACTATGGTTTTGAACTGAGACTTTATGGAGTGCTGCTTTTTTTCTTCATTGCTAACTTTATTAGTAAATGGCTACGGGTTCGACTTTGTCTCTTTTCCCACGTATTTGTTTGGGATTTTTGCCAAAACTAACCCACAACTTGGTTTTAACCCCAATACTAGACTCCAATTTGAATCAAATGCAAATCTAACCTAAAAGGGCTATGAAATTACAGTATAGTGCTCTGTGACCAAACAAAAAAACAGAAGACATTTTTACGAATATAACCCTAGTAAGTTGTCTGGGTCGGGCTGAGTTACTTTTCAGTCGTCTGGACGACTGAAATGTTAGTTGTCTGGACGATTGAATCTTAAAAATAATTTATAAATTATACAAAATATTGTAATAAGTGAAAAATTAAAAACATGTAATTATAAACATTTATAAGTGATATAAATTAAGAAATGGTAAAGTTGATTTATTTTCAGCATAGATGAGTGGAAGTAGTGAATCATGATATTCTTTGGTTTAAGGGTTTGACAAACATATGTTGTAGTATTGTATATAATCTTAGGGTTAGATTTTGAAAAGCTGAAATGTTTTTTTGAAAAAATTAATTTGACCTCTATGTGTTTATTTCTGTGTATAATAAACATTTTTCAAGTTTAAATTGATGTTTCGAAGTGTTTAATTAGAGAATAAAGTTTAGGGGTTATGTTTAGGGATTAGACGACTGAAATTTCAGTCGTCTGCTTTAAATTATTTCCCAGACGACTGAAATTTCAGTCTTCTAATTGTACCGAACTGTTAATTTTAACATTTTACGTGTTAACCTAACCGGATTTTTACCGGACATATAAAAGTTATTTTTTTCACTTTTTCACAATTTTCCGAAACCCTAGCGCCGTTTCTCTCCAAGGACGATTGTAAAGGCGATTTCGACGAATCTCTCCGATTTCGACGAATCTCTCCGTTTTCGCCGGTAATCTTTCTGATTTCGACGAATCTCGTTTTTCTTTCATGCCTTAGAGTATTTTCGTAGTTTAAACTGACCATCCGCTTCCTTTTTTTCAGATCTGAAATCTCGTAGCCCTTTCCTCCGCCGCCGGTATGTTATATCTTATGTTTTAAGGCGTTTAGCCGCCGGAAAACGCTAAAAATTGTAGTCTTGACTCTTCTTTTCCCTTCGATATGCAGATCTGTAACCGCTAGGGACCACATCTTCTCCGACTAAATCTTCTCCGACTGTAAGTCGTCATAGTAGTCTTCTCACTTCCTGGAAGCCTTCTACGAAGTCTTACTCTCTGGACGACTTACATGTAAGTCGTCCAGAGAGTAAGACTCTGTAGAAGNTCTATAGTATTTAGAATAGTGCGCTACCTTTGTGGTTGAGATGGTTGTTTGTGATTGTTTGCAGGCCTTAAAATGGATATATCAGAACTGCCGCCGAGGTTGTTTACATTAGGAGAAGAGCCCCCTGCACTGAGGAGCATTTCGTATCATTCTGATGACAAGAAGTTGTTTCAAGCTCTATCTGATAATCTCAGACCTGCGGAATATGAGGATCTGAAAGCGTCAAAGTTGGGAATATTCATCAAGTTCAAGGAGCTTGGCTTTGTTGGACTTCAAGGCTTGTACATTTTATTCTCTCCTTCCAGCTGGACATCAAGAAGAAGTTTGAGCTCTGGACTCTTGCCGGACCAGAACCTTTGAGGTTTTCAATTCTAGAGTTTGAAAACCTCACAGGTATGAACTGCGACTACATCCCGAATTTGGAAAATCCAAGGTGTGAGATTTCTCAGGAG